AAACCAAGACAATGCTAGGGGAACAGATCCTATGGACAGTCTTTGTGAGAAACTTAGGAAGTTCTCTTGGCCCCCAGTTCCTCCAAAATAATAGTAAAATTTGAAAAATCAAAAATTCACTGTGATTTTGAAATAATTTAAAACCTTAAAAAGTACAGTGTGGCATAAGATTATTAAATGTGTACAGTTTAGTCACATACCATCCAGAACTTCAAAACATTGCAAGCAAGGCATATTTCTTGTACTTCATTACTAATCTTTTCCAACAATACCCAAAGTAGTTTTATTATAATATTTTTATCTCAAATAACTATTTCCTGTGAGCACCATGTTCCTGCCTGCTGGCTTTATTACCATTTTACATGCTATGGACCTTGATAAGGCCCTAGCAAACTGATCTAACTTTGAAGTTACCCATGCTTTTAGCAAGAGGTTGGACTGGAGATCTTTGGAGGTCCCTTCAAGCCTGCATTTTTCTATAGTTCTATGACTTTTTTGCAATTTTTCTGTAATGCTATGATTCTACAGCAAGTTTTTCTAAGAGAAAAAATGATGACTATATGGAGTGTCCTTTCCAGTACCCCTGCCACAAAAGCAATGTTTGTCTTTTCTTACGCTCTTATCTGATCACTTGTGGTAGCAGCCCAGACTGCCTGCTGATCTCATTTCATGCATACTTATCTCTCCTGATCTTCACTTTAAGTCTCAGTCTCCTCGTTTCTTTTGCTACACTATATAAATATGGTATAATGGTATAGGTGAACCTGCTTTGGCAGTGGGCTTGGATTAGATGATCTCCAAAGGTCCCTTCCAACCCCGATCACTCTGCGATTCTGTAATCTCATGCCTTTAAAAAACAAATTAAAATGTATTATTAACTGATGGTTTTTCTAACTGTTGCCTCTCTCTTAATGATTAAGCTCAGTTTCCTTCCTGCAATTCTGTCGTACTCCACCAAGGTGGTATCTGCCTGCCTTTCATTCTGAGGAAGCCAGTATCTTATTTTAATCACAGTCAATAAGAACATATTCTTAACCAGCCTGAAAACTGCTTATACTGATCTGTCTTGTGGGCGATCTTAAGTGAAGCCAACGGTGCATTTTTCCTTATATCCTGTCATCCTGATTTGACACCTGTCACCATCTTTGTTTATTTCCTTTGCTTCCCTAATTGGTTTTGTTTTTTTTTTTTTTTTTTGAGCAGATAATTTAGAAGAACCTCCACTTTCCTCAGTTTCCTGTAGGGTTCCAAGTGTTTGGGCCTCTGTTTCCTTCTCTTTTCCCTTCACAATATGTCTGTCAGTCATTTATTCCACAAATACGATTTTAGCTAGCATCTATATGTGAAAAACGTGCAGAGCTGCTCCTCCAGTCCAGACCAGAGTCTAATTTTCCAAGAAAAAAAATAATTATGCCTATTGACATCACTTTTTGGAGGTCTAGCCTATTTTAAACTTAATACATCCATACACATAAAACATCCTTATTTCACACTTGTAACATGTCATTCAAGGTAGGCAAAACCAGGGTCATTATCTTGAACTCTGATTTCTGACTCCTGTCCTCTAAATTTCACTGATATTTCACTAAATTTCTTGTTACTACCTGTAGGATACAGACATCTTTACCCATTCACATAACAATCTCATGTAAGCTGTCAGTATCACCTGTTAACTGCAACATTGTCTTCTCAGGCTTTGACAAAGCAACTTCACTACCCTTACTCATTCAAAACACTACTGCAAAGGTAAATTCTTAAACATTATTTCAACTATGCCGTCTCTTCCTTTAGTTTCTTTGCTGATGCCCTTTCACTGTTTCATCAATGTACGTGCTTTGTCTTTACTTTGGAGGTCATTCAGGACCTCTTCATCACTATTCACTTAGAGCTCATGACACTAGCTTTGATTGTTTCTATATGAAGTTTTCAAACAGTTTGTCCATTCTCTCATGTTTTAGAGAAGTAGCCAATACAGTCGCAAAATCACTGTCAGGAGGCATGAGCAGGTCTCCAGAGAACTCAAGTGGCTGATACTATTAAAGTCACCTGCTTAAATCTTGAACACCCTCCTGAATGAGGAACTACTAAACAAGGTCAAACAGGAACACCATTTAGATGGCATATAGGGCTAGTCAGGAATACAGATTCTTACAGCGCTCTCATCCAGCCTCCAAAACTCACCCTCTGATTTCCCCTTCTCATAATGCATACAGAAGAAAAAAATGACAATATTTAAACTGCTGAACAATATTTAAAGTGCTGAAACCATTGCTAATCAGCTAGAGAAATACTGCCATTCTCACTTTACTTTTCCATCTCTTTTTTTTTTTTTTTGTCTTTTGTCTTAAGTTGGATTATAACCACTCTGTGGGAAGTCTTTGTTTTTGTTCCATGTTTGTACAATGTCTAGCCAGTGGGATGCTGGTCTGATTAAGCTCACAGGCTCTCTGGTAATGCAAATTAAAAACAATACTGCTTTCTATTCCTGCTACTTCTACAGAGACTATTTAGCTGTGGGAAGCTGAATTCTATGGCTGCATATGTACCAGCTGAACAATACACCAAATCCTAATCACTGGTCTACTGCAAAACTCCTAAAGGAATTGCAACAACATCACTGGGGACTTGGAGAGAAGCTAATTTAATTTTCATGCAACTGGAAAAGTAAATGAAAAGAAAAAAAAACCTAAAAAACCCCTATACATGATTGTATTTCATATGACAAACATGGAACTTCATGTGCCACTACTTTTCAGTGTTACTTTTTCAATTCAGTAAGAAATTAAAAATATGGGTAAAGCAAAAAATAGACAAAAGGAACCCTTCTTTCACTTTCTGTCATTTTTCCTAATCCTTTATCTTCTCCTTTCCATCATTTCATTTTAACATGTGAATGTCTACTACCAGAATATCAGGATTTTAAAGTTGATAAAACTTCATTGTAAACAACTTTTACTTCAGTCTTTTACATAGACATTGGGAAAACACTATTCCTCAGCCTTCTGTAAGAGCTTCTCTGGAGTTTCATCTTTTACTACAGCTGATACTAGGTCTTTCATTTATCCAAAAGATTATCCACTGTCGATATAACTTGTAAACTCGAAGGTGAAAAATAGATTTTCTTGACGATTTGCACTTCTAAAGGTTCTTGTGACTCCCTCAATATGAAGACTGGGGTAAATACAGCACATTATAATTCAAAATATTTTGAATTAAAGTATCTCAGACTATTTATGCTGCTAAAAGCTAAAAGAGTAGGGGAAAGATTTTTATTATGAGACTGAATATCTTCCTTCCCTGAGTTTAAAGTCCTGCTTCTTCATTGACATAAAGAGAAAAGAAAGCTTTCCTTTTTTTTCCTGCCTTGATATTAAAGAATGAGATAAAATTCTTCCTCCATTTATTTTGGGGAAAATAAAACATCACTTTGACTTCTGTATCGGAAGTTCAACAAAGTGGCTTTCTAGATAAATTATTTTGCCTCAGTGCAAAAGTCGTAACTTCTTTAGTCATATGCTGAGGCAACTTCCTATTTCCACCGAACTGAGAGTTTCTGACTATGAACAATCTGAAATAGTTTTAACAAAAAAAACCACTTAGTAGCCTTTTACTGCCATATGGCACCCACTTCTGAAGGTGTTTCTGTTAATGACCAAGAGGAGGTAGAATACTCCCTGTTTAGATTATAGGCTGTCTGAAAGACAAGCCCTACTATTTCCATAATACAGATATCTTAAAGGGCCTAACCTTTGCAGGGAAAAAACCCTGTGTTTCAGGAGGAGGTCTGACTTGGTAAGAATTACAAATAGTTTCTCACTCCCTTCCTCCCCTGTAAAGCAGAAAAGATGACAAACAGTCCTATCCACACCCCAATTAATAGCCAAAAGCAGCAGAATGGGCAGTATTGAGAAGTATATCCTATTTCACTCTTAGTCAGAAGAATGGTTATGTTGACATTTAGCCTCAGTATAAAAGCTACACTAGAGAGATTAATGAGGATGCAAGAATCCTGTTACCTCCTCCAAAAATGTAGCACCTATGAGAACAAACAAAACCAAATTCCTGAGAATGTTGCTATGCCTCAGCATCAGAAGGAAGTGTAATGAACTGAAGCCTGAAGGTAATTCTAGTCAACATCAGACTTCTGATGTGACACTGACCACGACTTCAGACTGAGATAGACTTTTGGAGATATTAGACATACTGTTTTTTAGAACAGGAGCAGCATTCTACCAGCTCCTCTGAATTCATGCACTATGCCATTAAAAATATTTACTTAAATATGTGCATTTCCAAGAAAGAAACAGTGCTCCTCCTATAGCACAGGCCCTCTGAAGTCTTATATTTAAAGGAAAGACAATTTAAAAAATTTATTGGAAACTTCTAAATAAAACAAACCAAAAATACAAAAATCAAATCTGGAAGAAACAGATGAAATGAGCTGCTCATATTAATAAGGCCCAAGGCAGATTCATATTGAAATGTTTTCTTTGAACATAAGTATATGTTTCTGGCATTTAAAGCAGTGTTGGCACACATCACTGACACAACCATTCTGAATCTTTATTGTTGTAAAATGAAGTCACCATATCGAGAAGGAGGGGGAAAAAAAAAAGGAGAGGAATAGCTCTACTAATTGTGCAGTCACCTTTAAATTCTTGCTCAATGAGAATATTAAATGTCAGAAAGAAAGATAAAAGGAAGGGTAGAAACCAAGATTATTCTTTCATGTCATCTAATTTTTCTAACAATTCTAGAAAATACATGCTCAAAGTTCATTTTTAGAAAAGACAAACATTTAAGTCTTGAAAAATTATTGTACTTGTGATTAAATCTAGATTATAAATCAACATATTTACCTCATTATATCAGAAAGATTGCCTCAGTATCAAGAATTTCTGGTTCTTGACTGATGCAGTATTTCATTATTGTATGGAAACAACTCATCAAAAATAGATTTGGGGACCGGGTTGGAGTTCAATTGCAAACAGTAGATCACCTTAATGATGGGTTTCCAGTTCAAGAATTGTCCATTCCCCTTGAGGGGATGAACAGTCTTCAGATGAAAAGCTTGCCACTGTAATGCTTGCTGAAGAGTCATCGAGTGGAGACATTAGTTCAGTCCATCTACTGAATGTGTCAACTTGTGATGTACCCTGAGGATTCGAACCATCTCGTGCCAGAAACAGTGTCTGATTGATAAGACATTGTGCTAAGTTAAGGTCTTCAGGAACAGAGTTTTTGAAACCTATATTTGAGTCCTGCTCAGATAACAATTGCCTGAGAAGAGTCCAGTCCTGTTCTGCAAACTGCTGATCTTCAAAATCCACATCTAGAACTGCTGTTTCTGAATCCATCCTCTGCTCAATTGCTTCTCCAACATCCATCTCATATATTGGAGAAAGGGTTTTTGAAGGCCGATGCTCATACATGCAGGTTTGTGCCATTGTGTCATAATCATCTATGTCTCCTGAAATAATTCACAATACTGTACAATGTAAAAATTGCAGATGATCCTCCCCTCAGGGCTGTGTAGAGCAAAATTTAACTCATTCAGGAAGGACAATCCAACCAGGTTAAAAAAGGGGGGGTGGAGGGTTATACAAAATTGACAAAATTTGAGGCATTTATTTCCTATATAAAAAACAAAGTATGATTTATAAATAATTAAGTTAAAGCAGCAATCACCACTGGTAGTTAACAATAACCTCCATAATTAAGTTTCTGATACAGAAAATGACAATGTAAATATACACTTAATGCACATGAAATTTCTCATTTACTACATAAATTAAATTTAGACCAGGAGGTGCATGGAGGGAATTAATAGAGAATGATTACTGAATGGTGACTTAAGCTATGTCAGCTTAGAAGATAATTAAAAACAAAATCGTTTATCCACAGACTTATTTCTACACTGCACATGCAAGGGCAGCTGCAGGCAAGGGCAAGCAAACTGAAAAAAAAAATAGTACAACTTTTAATGTCTTCTTGTTTTGTGGTCTGGATGAACATAGATCATCATCAGCATTTCATTACTCTTGAATACACAATAGTTGTAATCAACACTATTGTATATTTTTGGTGGGATAAACAGACTGAATTATTGGTATAAAGAAGACAAAACACAAAACTAGACAAGTATTCATCTAGCTACGTGAAACAAGTTAGAACTTTTCTGTATATAAGCATTAGTTCTAAGTATAATCTTTCTTTTAGGAAATAAGCTTTTACTGGTAAAATTTAGAATTTTAGACATCTCATAATCTCTAAATCAGAGTTCAAACCTGCTCCCACTGATGTATATGGCAAATATTCAGTTATATTCAGTGGGAGAAAGATCCAAATTTGTGTATAATATATAAATAAATAAATTACAACAATAATGCATATAGCTGTTCAGGTAAACAGTTCAGTGCGCTTTAGTTAAGGTTATTACTGTAGTTATTGCACATCCCATTCAGACATACTATATGTTGTCAAGCAGACAAAACAAATACTAAGATTCCATCAAAAGCTGATGCTGTCAATGTTAGATTGGATCAAAAATAACTGAAGTACAGACAACTGCATCCAATCTTTCTTTTAGCATTACATAAAAATCTTTTTTTCTTGTAGTCGTTTCTCATTGAACAGCAGGGTATTGACGGATATTTCAAACAGACAAGCATTCTCTACCCAAGTGAAATACTTAAAAATACTTAAATTTAATATAATTTCAGCCAAAATTACTTCAGTTCAGGATTCAATCCCAGACATTGCCAAAGATTTCCCTATTAATTTGTTTTTGAATGACTGAATGTTTCTATTTCTGTACATTACCTGGAAGTAAATCAGTATTAGCGCATTCAGTAGTTTCTGGTTGACTGTCTGTCACTTGACCTTCCTGAGTCAGTATCTGATTCTTACTGGCTTCTACAGGTTTCGCAGAGCTGCTCTTTTGGACATCAGAATTAGTTTCTCTCTGATGAAGATCCAAATGACATGGTCTTTCTTGAGATTTTGCATCGTTGTCTAAGTATTTATTGCACTGGTGAAATTCACTAGGCACCTCATTCTTCATATTTACTTTTTCTTTTGGACACAGACTAGCTGCTGAATATACTTTTTCTGGGCAATTTTGTTCAGTCATTGAAGCACCCTGATTCTCCTTCCCTGGGATTTCAGTGCCATGAAGATGTAGGAGAGAACTTTCACTTTTATCTGATCTATTGTCTCTATCCTTATGCTGTTTGCAATCCAGGAATCTATCTTCAATTTCTAGTGAGTATCTTGAATAAAAAGTCTTTCCATGATGCTCTTGAGAAACACTCTCAAATACTTCTGAAGGAGTAAGAGAATCTGTTGAATGCTGACATGAAGTATGAGTTTCCACTCTATCGTCAGATCCTAATTCTTCGCATTCATCTACTGAAAGTAAAACAGATCGTTTGAAATTTTTAGTTTTAGAAAATTCTTGACTTGCAGTATCATTTTCTGTTGCATCTTCAAAAGCTAAATTATCAATTCCTTGGAACTGTTGAGTAGGAACATTTGCTGGAGGAAAGTTTTTTGCAACATTCTCTGCTTCAGATCTGTCATCTTCTGTTTCATCAGCAGAAGAAGAAACTTGGTCTGCTTCCTGAGTAAACTGTGCATTACCAAAAGTGGAACTTTTGCTTTCTCTGGTATTGGTCCTTGCAGTTTCTTGATGGGACCAAATTTCAGGTCTTTTTCTTGGTATTTCATCGTCACTTGTTGAGTTAACACGGAAGAGATCAGAACCCTCTTTTTTCATCTTCACTTCTATTCTTAGGCTGCTGTCATAAATTTTTAACTCCTCAGGTGTACTTGTGTCACTGCTGCTTCTTCCAAGAAAATCGTGGCATAACATAGTGCTGCATTTAGAAATCCCTCTTTCATTGGATCCTTCATCATCCTGAGAGCCTCCAGCATCATAATCTTCTGATCTTGGTTTTATATCATCGGAGGACGTGGTTGCACTGCCAGTATCTGATTCAGGACTCTCTTTTGGATCTAGTGCACCAGTATTCCAGTGGTCCACGAAGGGAATTTCTGCATTTTCGTGGTTTTCTGGCATTTCTGTAGGATCTATAGGCTCTGTGTAACTAGGTGAACATTTTTCTGTTATTTGTTCTGTGGAACATTCTGAAACATCATCTAAATCTGCTGTAACTGATTTGTATTCAGTCAAGGCTGATGTATCACACAGCTCATCAGCTGTAAGAAATCCCTCCATAGGAATCTGAGGAGATGATGTCTCATCCTCTTTATTGGTTATCGTCCTGGAAAAGCTTGGTAAAGCACTTTGACCATAGTTAAGACCTGTTTCGGAGTTTAATTTATGACTTTGCTCAGTACAGACTTTTGTTGGTTTTGAATGTTTCACCAGTTCTCCTGAAGCAGGAGCCTTTTGATTTGTTTCCTTGGAAAAGTCTGAGTAACCATCACTGGAAGACACTGCATGACTGTGAAATTCACTTGTATTACTGTCTTTCTCTATATCTTTAATCTGTTTAATTTCAGTCTGATCTCCAGAGATTTGTCTTGCTTCCATTTCATTTTGCAGTGAAATGTGCAGCTTAGAAACAGTTTCTTCTGTAATTACAGAAGAAGATTCAGCTTGTATTTTGTATTCCACATTTTCAGAAGGATCTGACAATTTTTGTTTATTGGGTTGACAGGATGCCAGCAGTTTATCTTTGCTGGTACTTTCCATCACAGATTTTAAAGATTCACTTTGCTTTGCAGAATAGCATTCATTACTGTCATGAAGCTGACCTGCCACTGCATCAGCCATGTTTTTTTCCAGTTTCTGTCCTGAACTTCTGTGCTCAGAAGTGTGCACATTCTTCTGGACCACAGGAGATTCACTCCTTGAATGTTTTTGGGCAGAAGACTGAGATTTTAATACAGATTGCCCAACCGTTTTTGGTTTTGGGTCTTTGTTATTCATAATCTCTGCATGCTTTGATTGAGCCAGGGTTTTAGGTGTTATTTTTGCAGTGGCTTTCGCTACAGGTGTTTGCAACTGCTTAACACTCCTCTTCTTGGCTGAAGGTTGTTTTTCTGGGAGTGTTGTCTGAACCAGATGTTGTAACACATTTTTTTCTTCGTTATGTTTTGGAGACATTCCTGATTTCAGTGAATTTGGCGATTCCCCCATAGGTCCTAACGAACAGTAAAAAAAAAGACTATAAGATTGTATATGCCAGTCAAAGTATATTCACCAAACTTCCATTAATGTTTGTTTATGTTGAGAAGTTACTCAACTTTTTATGTAACTAAGGGATTTAAGGCTTGTTAAAAAATTAAGAATGGATAACTTAAACAAATAGTAGACAAAAATAGCATCTTGCATTTACATGCCATCTTTAAAACTAAAGCACTTCATAGACTATATGTAAAGGAATTACTTCAACCTGTAACTGAAGCAGTCATCACTGGAATAGAAAGCAGCAGTTATCTAACAGGGCATAGAAACACTGCAGAGCATCTCAGCACAGGAAGTGATGAGTACTGCGTTCAATTTATATTGTAGAGGAAATGAGTGTAGGCAGAAAATAATTACATTAGTTACAATGTGATTAGAATACCAGAATTGATGTCCCTCCCTGCTCAGTCAGGAAATACTGCAAGATTTTTAAAGACCACAAATTGACAGGACCTGTGTTTTCTGTATCGTATTGCATTTAAGATAATATAACTTGAATATTCTTTCCCCCCCAGTAAGCACAAAGTCCAAAGGGGATTAAAAAGAGCTCCATCCTTAACTCTTTGTATCTTTATAAAGGAGGGTTTCCTCTGTGTGGTCTACAACGTCATTTCGCACACTTGATATAAATAGCTGTTGAAATCAAGTATTTGTGGGGTAGGTAGTATCAGTGGTGCTACCGCTATGGGGGATCACCAAAAAAGGGAGGCACAAACTAACAGTTCATGAAGGAGTCTGCAGTCCAGATCTTTGATGCATATTGTAAATGCTTGACCTACAGAATTTTTGTTGAACTCAGTCATGGTTCCAAGTGCAGAAGTGCAGGAGATCAGCAAATAAAAGACTCCACAAAGCAGATTAAACAAGCAGAAGAAAACACCAACTGGCAGCGAAGACCATCTTTTAAATTAATATTGTGAAGTTAACACACATTCATTTACATTTTACAGTTTAGGATTGTCACCAAAGGTGAAATATGGAAAATAAACAGAATTATTCAGAAGATTTTGCCAAATGCTTGTGCTAAAAAAACCCAAAACCAAACCACAACCAAAAACAAACAACAAAACAAACAAAAACAAGTCCCAACACAAAACTCCAAAGCTTTGCATAATAACGGGAGACCATTTCATTGCTGTATGAAAGTTTACCTTGGTTCTTGGGAGAACTGGTAGGTGTGTTTTGAGCCTTTTGCTGTGCTGCAGAATTGCTACTCACATTCCCTTTTTTCTTTAGAACAGCTTGTCCATTTTGTTCATTACACCCTTTTCCAGTTGATTTTTTTGTCAGACTGCAAAGAAATTATTATATCCATTATTTCCAAGCTTAGGATCTAGCAATGTTTAATTGTATTTAAACAAGCAATATATGTGTTTTAATACGCACACATAAAGACTGAAAATGCAACCTAAAAGGTATACTTTTTGAAAATAAAACCTATATGTGTGTATATATATATTTTTATATGTACACACACATTTATAAATGACCCATTTCACAGTTTCATAGTGCTTCAGCTGTGTTCCTGTCCAGTCCAATCTAAGCTATCCTGGAAATGGTAAGTTTACAACACCTTGTGTAGTCATTAACTGTTCCAGTATGCAGAATTCTCAATGAACTGTAACAATTTTAAAAATTATTAGCATGAAACAATCCAACACAAAAGCCAAACCAATTTTATCTTTACATCAGTGTTTCCAAAAGCAAACTGTTATGCTAATAACATGCAATAGACCACCATCCTCAGATTAAAAAGAACTTGTTGACTTAACAGTAAGTTTAACAGTTCAGGTGAAACTTTTTTCACAAATACACATACACACACACATATATATACATAAAGCAGCATATTGACTTGTAACATACCTGCTTGTTGTGACATTAGCCTCAAGCTCAGTCTTTTTTTTTTTGTTGGTGACTCCATTTGATGTCTTCACAGATGACTTTGTTTTTACTATTGTAAAGTAAATTCAAAGTTAATTATAGGGGGAAATGCATTGCATATAAGTACTGAAAAAATTCTAATATATGAAGATCAGCTATTGAAAACAGCATAGATGCTAAACTTGTAAAACTTTTGTCATTTTATATGGCTATCAGTTGATCACAAAATCAGTTAATAGAGGAGAAATTTAATATTCTAATCTCAAGCTAATATTCATTTACAGGGGAAGAAGGGGACTCTTACCAATCTATAGTGGATTTTTTTTAAAGCTTCCCAAGCCTATTTTCAGTTTATGATCAGCCTGGGACAAATCAGAAGAGGACTTTAAAAAAAAAAAATTACCAGTCTGTTTTTTCCCTTCCTCTACCAATTTATCCTCTTTGGGTTCCTCTGTCTGTTCACTGGCAGTCTGGATATCTATGTTTGAGTTTGCTGACTTGCTGGAAGTTCCTGCCACAGTCACTAAGGAGGGAGATTCCTTCCCTGTGGTTTTTTTCAATGGTTTTGTTTTGATCTGCACGCTTGAGGTTACTGTCAGCACTTTAGGTCTGGCACCTGCAATTTTTCCGTCATGGTTCTTTAGTCCTTTGCCACTTGCTGAATTTTTTTGTCCACTTGCAGATGATGTCTTTTCTATATCTTGCTTGGTAAGCATGCTTTCAGCCTTCGCATTTCCGTTATTTTCTATTTTTGTCTTTATAACAGCTCTAGCCTTTGGTGAAGCAGCTTTTTCCCCAGGTTTTGAATCCTTAGTAATCTTGGAAGCTAGCTTTTTGCCATCTTTCCCCTTTACATCCTCATGCTTTGAAGCCTTATTAACAGTGTTTCTATTGGTGCTGGATGTATGTCCAGATGCTCCTAATCCATCAGATTTCATTTTATCCCGATTAGTGGAAGAATCTCCCCAGCAATCTTTCTTGCCGTGTTCTGTCCAGGAAGTATTCTTTATACCAACAGATTCAGTAATAGATTTGTTTAGCTATAAAAAAAGCATCAGGAAAAAAAAACAAAACAAAACAGAAGACATTTATAACACCAAACTATCCACAATCTTTCATTTCTGAAACAGCTACTTTTTAAGTAGTACATTCAGCACAGAAATAATTTTAAAAAATTATATTTTAGCTCAGATTGCTGGCTTTTGAAAATATAAAAGTACCAGACATAACTAGAGTGCCTAGTAAATCTCATGTGAAATACTGGTCTCTATATAGAATATAGAAATACCTAAGTAGAGTTTCACTTTTACTTTGGACAAATTACTGTGTAATGTTTATTTATATTATTAGTGTCTGCTGAAGTAAGAAAACTGAGTTATATGTGCGTATTTTCCAAAGAGGAATAAAGACTATAAATTACTACAAACATAAAAACAAAAATTAATTTATAATACATGTGATGTTTTTAACCATTATCGACAGTGTATCCACCAGATAAGTGACAATATTCATTCTCTCTCTCAGGTAAAGATATATACTGAAACAGGGAGAATTAAGTGCATGAAATGGAATCTTTGTGATACCAGTGTCACCGCAGTGTATCCAAGACCATCAAATTATGTGAAACCCATAGTGTTTTTCTACCAAATAGTAATGTAGTTTTGAGTGTGAGTCTCAATAGAAGAGTTGCTGAGGGCACTAAAAAGTATTTTTTCAGGGCAGAGAGTCTAACAGGCTCAGTACTGTGGTGGCTTGTAATAATAGCAGAGATTCATTAGCTCAGTAGCAAACCATTTACTCTGGGAAACAGATCACTGTCATTACGTAGCAACAGGGGAATGTGAGATTCTGAACACAAATTCCTGTCTTTTATTTGAGCTTATCTGTTTCAAAATGTAGCAGAGCATAGACAGAGTCCCAAGATGTTTCCAGTTAATGGACATTACTGATTCTGCAGAAGTGACAGTTCACCAAAAAAGACAAATTTTTCAAAAGCAAGTTTCATTAAATAATATGACAAATTAATATTTAATTTAAAACACATGATGAAAATAGTTTTGTTTGCAAGTTTTTGAGTATTTTTAATGTATGGATATAAATGTTTACCTGAGAACTAGTGAATACAGGTTTTTTGCCCAGTCTTCGGTCATCACCCTTGTCAAATGCAGCTGTAAAAGGAACAAGCAGTTTCTTTACTATTTAGCAGGAAAGAAGGGAGACAGAAAACAATCCAGCCTACTCAATTAGCATCATCTGAAATCAGAAAGCAGTTCTTTGGGTCCTGTAATTATTCTAGGAAGGCTAATTTTGGTGACATGGCAAATGTTAAGTGGAAATACATAGTTTTATGTTCAGAACAAAAAAATGTGGTATCTGTAATGAGGTCACATGGCCATAAGCAAGTTGTTTAACTCTTCTGTTTCAACATTGCCATAGTAAGACACACTTTTGTTTATCCAAGCTTAGCTCACCTAAAGCTTGCAGTGCACTGAGACCTTTGAAAGTGTACATAATTTACAAAAAAAAAAAAGACCTTCAAATTTAGAATACTAATGACTTAAGTGATGTACTGTAATTTATAGAATATGTATTTGTACTATTTAAAGAAGATATTAATTAGATGAAAGTAAATTATATTAGTTTTCAAAAGTGGTAAAGCCAAAATATCTATATGTACACAGTAAGATCATAGTGCCTCTTTAGATAGCATGCAGTGTAATGTCATGAGAGTTATCCCTGTGATTGTCATGTGGAATTTTCAGGCAGTGAATGCCCTTTTTTTTTTCCACTGGTCTACTCTGGGAGGGAAGGATTTTTCAATAAAGCCTTTAAATCAATTGCGCTTGTAGAATACAAAGTGGATATTTATAGACACTGTACAGACCCCAAATCAATAAGGTTTCATTTTTGTTGATATTATTATTTCAGCTGAAAAAAAGGTTTTGCAAAAAATCTATTAAAAATTTAAGCATTCAGTGCCTCATGTTCTGACGTGCTATTTATACATGGATACATTTTCTGTATGTGTAAAACAAAAATTCTGTTGACTTCTTATTGAAGATACTAAAAATAATTTTTATATAGGTCTGTAAAAATCACACAAAAGGTATGCTGAAAATGGCACCCCAGGGAACTAATCCTTTTTCTAGCAATGACTGTGCACATTAATACATATCAATATATTAAGACAAAATCCATATAAACTTGTGCCTAAGAAAACACAAGACACGTTGTGAATGAAAAAACCCATAATATCATTAGTTGTCTTTTGGCATTTTTCCTCCTCTATTATAGCCTTCTAATTCTATATAGGTTAAATCTTTAGAAGATAAACCACCACCAGAAATCTTTAAGATGAAAGTTGATTTAAGTTATCCTAGACATATTTCACCTGAAGATTAAAATTTGTCTACCAGTAATTGTGTGATCACTTTGCCTGTAATTAAAACCAGATTATGCATACATTTCAGCCTGTCTGTCTACATATACAATGTATGCTAGCTTAGAGTTATAATTTAATCTAAAAGAAAACAAAACAATTTCTGGCAAGATGGAGTTTGGACAATTAAGGCACACCTTGGTCTTAAATATATTTTTTTGTGTTGAGAGCACTAGTGCAAAGCAGCCTAAACATTATTTTCAGTAAGGACACGATCATCCTAAAAATAAAACACCTCAAAACAGAAAACCCCACTCTTGTTTCTAAAGCCAGCTTCTGAAGGATTTTATAATCCAGAAAGAAATCAGAAACCTGTTTTATACAGTAGCAGTGAGATGTTATTTGACTACATCCCTCAATCATGCTTAGAAAGACTGTTCACTGCATCTTTCTCTCAGCATGTAATTGTAGAATAAAATTGTCATCTACATATAGGCATAAACAATTTTATAATTATCATATCCTAGCTACTAATGTCTTTAACAGAAAGGACACCAAAATGTTTTTCTCCTTTGAATCAAAAGTGATTCGATTTTAGAGAAGTCTACAACACATTCTTTTCTTTTCTAACACTGTACTGTCAAAGCTAATATTCAGCCATAACCTAACTCCATCATCAGTTCTGCATCCTCAGAATACTTGTGTACTTCAAAACAAAGAAATGTTCAGAACAACAACTTCTTTTTGTTGGAAGTGCTGTCAGTTAAAATTTTGAGAGAACACTATGCAGCTCCTTAGGGGCTCTGCAGTAGCATACACAATATCACAATACCAATCAACTGTGAAGCCAGGCTATCTGCATTTACTCACAGTGCACAAGATGAGCATTATGCAAGAGACAAGCAATATTTATACATTATGGAGAAAACGATAAAGGACAGAAACTGAATTCATAGAACAGATAATCTGCTTTGTGCAGATTTAATTCATCCACAGTGCTTATCTCCTTAAAAATGAGGCAGATAAGGTTTTTAATCCTACTGCAGTATTTTCAATAATTTAGAGTAGCTGTAAATAAGAATAGAATCACTCATCATGGTTTTGGTTCCTATCATATACACAGGGGAGACTTTTCACAGAAAATGACTTGCCGATTCCCATGTTTGAAACTAGCTAAGCATGCTATCATGCTTCTATCCTAAAATACCACTTCAAAAACCTAAAGCATCATAAATTTTGCTTTCATTTGTATCTGGCTCCACAATAACACCCACATTTTATCTACTGAACAGATTGCTAAAAAATTCTAATGCCATTTGATGCCAGACATACCTGCTTGTATTTTATGTTGATGGTCTGGCCTCATCAGCTTCCAGCTTTCTGTGTGACGAACAGCATAAAAAGACTGAACCAGGAAGACCCAGAGCTTATCACGCAGAGCCTGGATCTTGCACGTAAAACCCTGTGTTCAAGTAACAAATCAGCAGCTGGCGAGGGGCATATTGTCATAGCAACCAGTCATTATTCCTTTCAGAATCTACTTACTCCCTAAGCTAGATCAATGATGTCATCACTTATATTTTATAATGGTCTGCTAGATGGAGATGCTCTTTTTGAAGGATTATTGCCCACCACAGTAATTTTTACAATACTTTAAAACCAAGGCATGCTACAGCACTAGAAAACACCACATTGCTCTTTTTTGCTTTCCTTTTTTTTTTTTTTTTTTAAATGAACCCCATAATAGCTCTTTACTGTCAGCTGTGTCACAACAAGGTCAAATACTCTAGGGAAAAATAACGTATCTGTTTAAATTTTCATTGCTTTTACCAAGATCTACAATAGCACCAAATTGCACTAATTCATTTTGCATTTATTTTTCATTCTTTGCTTGTAGCATCATTCTGGATTTTAATCAGTATGTCATACTATTCATGAATTGTCCCCAGCATTACAGTCAACCACAGCTTAAATATATTTAGATTGTGTGGATATACACGGTGTGTTACACACATGGAGACTGACACCTCCCCCCAGTCCAAAACACACACACTAGATTAAAAGGCAGTCCTTGCTTCAAAGGACAGTCTTAAACAAAAGCAAATGTAGCTGTGACTTTTACAAAAAAAGGGGGCAAAGATACATAGAGAGAAAGAGAACAATCTCTTCTCCCCTATAGGTTTAAGGTAATGCAACATTTTGGTAAGTTTTTTTCTCGTCACAAATTTAAAGTGATAGTAAAGATCAACAGAGCAGTGGTGCCTATGGGACTTACATTCTCAGTAATACACAGTAATTTTTTTATTGCCATAGATAGGGTTTCTGTTTAAAGGAAAAAACTCTTAATAGCCAGTAAACAAATGCCAACATTTTCTGCACTTCCAGCAAGACCCTGGATTTATGCAGATGCTTTTCTGTGCGACCCAAATTGCAGGACTGAGCCACCTGAGCTCAAACTACATCATCTGATTTGAACCATTAAATGAAACAATACCAGAATAGTTTTTCCTACAAACACTGCACATTGAAAAACCTACCATCTCCTTCACATTTGCGGAGTCCAACAATGTATCCACAGCTACAAGAAGAAAGCAGCTATTTTCATTATTAATACTTTTTTCAATTGCATTAAAAATTAGTTCTAGAAGGTCAGGTTCGCTGCTCATTGCCTGTGCCTGAGGAAACAACAAAAGGCAGCCGTTTAAAACAAAAGAGTGTACTTCGTATGCAAAAGCATTACTGAGCAGAGAGGATCTGCTGTCGGGCTGTGCAGGAGGTATTCCAAAGCTGAGCGTCTTCCTTTGTATCCATTCCATAACTCACCCCTCTCCAGGCCTCTAGCAAATGATCCTGAGGCCTCTCACTAACCCAAACTTCAGCAACAAGCACACTGTGATGAATTTACAGTCACATGCAATTCTAGATTCAAAGACAAAACGTTTTAAAAAAATAAATAGGGCGATGTTAATCCTCTATACATATTAAAAAAAAAGTGTCTTTCATGGGAGAAATGAACCAGCTAGATGACTAGATGTGTTCTCACCAGGACCTGCAGCATCACCACATTCTTGCAACTCGAAACAAAATAAGTAAGAGTTTGAGTATACTGCTAATATTCATAATCATTCTTGGAAGTACATACTGTTGTTCGAGGGGGTCCAAAAGCTTTTTCAAAGCTTATGTATATACTTACCTCTTTCCAACACAGAAAGTGCCCCGCTAAATTCATTGGAACTTTTGCTTAGCTGACACACATAACCCTGTGTATCAAAGTATTAGTGAGCTTTAAAACACTGAAAAAAACCCCAAACCCACCCCAAAAAAGCCTTAGCACTGCCCAATTTTATTATTTTTTTTTAATTTTCCATAGAATTGTACTTTAAAGCAAAAGTTGAAACTATTTCAGTTATTTAGCAGCCTGAACTATCTGGAGTGTGATATAATTCAATTTATTTGGAAGCATACAATAATTTGAGGGGATTTTTACCTGCAACAAAATAGAGAAGCCTTCACTTTGTACTACATGTAGGAAGTTTGCCACAATAAATGTTACACATTCTTCTTGTAGCCTAGATGCCAAGGCCACAGCTGTCTCAGTCCATTTCACTTGGGGAAGACTATTGATCAGCCGGTCACTCTCCATCAAAAGGAAAGCAGCATTCTTGTGGTTCTTAAAATAAAAAGAGAAATTAGCCGGTTGCCAAGTAATCACCTAAAGAATTGCTGCTCGTAAAATAGCTTCTGTTCAGTTACTGAACACTTCTACAAGGATCCAATCATGTATTAATTTCCCTTCTTTAAATCAATTTGGATTTTGGTAATTCTGAACATTATACCTATCTTTGAAACTAAAGCAGAGAAAGAAAAATCTACTGCTTCTGTTTTGCCTGCTGAAGATAGGCAGTAACGTTTTCAGTAGCTTTTATTGTATTTTTTCAACTGTGTATCATTACTTACTGCAGTCCTGAACAAAATAAGGCAAACATTAACTGGAGAAATTGAATAGAGAAAAACCTTTTAGGTTACTGAAAGATGTAATACATTCTCAAATAAAATGGGTAAGTGAAAGTTTTAGGTGAGCATGGATGGCCTAGCATTCGGGATACTAAGCACCCAAGCATTTTCATAGTTATGAATCCTTTTGCTTTATTTAAAGGAGTTAGACGTCAAATATTTGTCTTCCCAGATGGAGTTTTAACTGAACTTACCCTCTTTGTTGTCTAACATTTCTCTAAGAAACATAATTGTTATATTTATAGTTACATTTAAAACAAGCAAACAGATTTGCTACTATTTATTCCCCTGGTTTGTGCCTTTGGTTCTTTTGTACATTGCATCAGCACAGTACCCGAGGACAACTTCTACTGGCTAATATATCACTTAAAAAGAACTTGCAATTTATTGTTATCCACATTAGAATGGATTGAGAGCTCTACTCAACATGACCTAGCAGGTCACTGATAAATTATGCAGTAAGATCAGTAACACTGGTGAAAGCAACAATTCAGATAAATATGTGACACAAAAACCCCTACTGGAAATTCAGATTGTAATCATGTTTGTCCCATGCAAGGTAGAAAGCAGGTAAGATTTTCTTCATGCATATTGTAGTTATAATCTGGCCAGCCACTGTTCAACTATTTTTTTAATTATTTTACTCATATGTGGGCAAAACCAGTTTGCTTCTATGCATATAAGGTAAATTAAGGATTAAATATATGCTTATGGTTTGATCTTGCTCCCACTGGACTCAATTACAAGCTTTTTGAATTGTCCAGAATTCAGGCCCTGCTTGCAATGTAGTAAGTATTTACTCCCATTAGACGCTTCCAGGGAAACAGAAAATGCCTTCATTGACTTCTAATTAAATCAGCACTTTGTAGGAGTGGCTCTAACTGAATTTTACTTCTCTTGTTATAATTTCTTTCCTAACCATTCTAAAGTGGAGTCCACTTTACTATCTAAAAACTGGTAATTTTCTTGCATGTAGTTGAGACACCAGGGATAAGTACCTGAACAGTGTTTTAAACTGCACTCCCATTTTAATATTTCTGTTTTCATCACTGTGGCTTCCCAGAGATTTTCTGATCAGCAATCTCCTTTTCTTTGCACCTTTTCTTCCTCTGAAAGGGTGCCTCACATTAATTAAGTTTTACATTTCCAAGATTGGTAAACGGAAGGATCAGTAGAGTCATACTATTTAACTGGGTGCAACTGTTAAAAGGTTTTACAGCAGAGAACTGTAGCAGCAGAGAAAAGAGGATTGTAAAACATACAGTAGCCCCTGCAAAATTGAAGTCAGACCTTTTCTTCTTTCCCCCTCGAGCACCCTTAAGCATTTTTGCAGATTGTGAAAACCTCCACTGGGAATTCCACAAGTTTTTGGACTGGGTGTCTTAAGAGCTCAGAGTTAAATGACCACTCACCAGAACTCTCCTGTGGGTAGAAAAGGCTTATGCTTTATTTTTTAATTTTACAATTCTAAAAGCTTTCTAGGCTTCAGTCCATAAAATATCAGTAAATCTTGCAAAGACACACCAACACAAATTTTAAATCAGTAAAATGGGAACCAAAAAACGCTTTAGTCCAGACTGCAGAAATCTTCCAGAGAAGCTGGGTACACCGCTGGAGCAGTACCAAGTACCACAGTGCCACGACAGTTCTGCAAATGCTGGTGGCTTAAAGATAGCTCATGTATTTCAACACAAAATGTAACCACAGCATCTTGATATATTACAAGAGGTACGGAGAGGAAGGAAGGCCTGAAGTAGCTTAGGTTTACCTTTAAGCTGTCCTGATAATGTTGCACAAGGGCACCTGGAGAGGAGCCTAGAACTGTGTCTACATACACTCTTGGCTACAGTACACACCTGAACTAGTTTGAAGATGGGTGGTGGTGTAACTATGATCACTGTAGATCAGAATGAACTGATGTATAACCCTGAAAGTGTTACTTAAAACTTCTCAAATATTTATACAACATGTGACATGCAAAGCTATGTATATGTTCTAGGAACAACTGACTATACTGATCTAATACAATGGCAGAACACTTAGTATCTTAAGAGCTATAGCTACTATCTTTATTCTGTTAGAAATTATGCATTCTGGCAGAATGACTGTTTGGGTTTTGTAACTGTGGATACTCTCAAGCTTCTCTTGGTACAGTCACATAACTTTGAAATCTCTTGTTTTTCAGGCTTTCACCTGAATATGCAGTAGCAGCCGCCACTCACAGTTGGCCACAGCACTTGATGAGGTAAGCACTCCATCAAAGAAGTTCTGACAAAAAACAGCCCCAAGAAACCTTCACAGCCCTTTCAGTAAGGGGCAGTTCTTGGCCAGAACCATTTAAGAGTGCATCTCTTGAACTAGGGGTATGTTTGGCAGTGTGGGTAGCCTACCTCAGCTATTTAGCTTGGATAACAACAGTAACAGAGACATGGGGACAAGGACTTCAGCATGAGATATACGAGATGTCACATACTTAGCTGTCTGGTGTGTGCTGGAACCAAAACCATCCCGTGAATGTTACCTGAGCTAGTTACATTAAAGCCACATCCCTATACAGTCATGCTTGGCAGCAGCTGTACACATTTACCTTTAGCTTCTCTATATACTCTTCATATCTCTGTTACAATTCAGTGCATTTACAGGCTAATTACTCGACCAAATTCCTGTTAACAGGTCTAGTTCAAATCAGTTACTTTAAGTCAGCTCTGAGCGTAGTTTTATACAGAAACACAATTCGAAAGTACTTATGTTTAGGTAGATCTAAATTGGAACAATGTAAGTATGTGCCACAAGAAATGAATGCTGAGCTTTGAGGGGACCAATTCAGTATTGTTATGCAAGAAGTAGAAGACATGTATACTATACTGTTACTTTATTTTTGAAAAGACAGCTTGCCTGTAAACAAATGGCTTGTGATCACTGATAGCCAGTGATCACCTGAAGTCTGAAAAAAAAAAAATAAAATAGTAGTACATTTTTTCCAAATTAGAATAGAGGCAGAGGAAAAGGCAATCACAAATGACGTATACTGCCACCCAATGTAGAAACGGGTACAGCAATGTGCTGTTCCTCGCTATCCATAGCACAGCATTATGTATTTGATCTCACAGCTGTTTCATAAACTTATTTTGTATTATTATGCTGGAATTGGATGTGATTATCACTAGACTGCATGCCATCAAGCATAACAACGACATCTGCACATGAAAACCTGGTTTTAAGTTGTTATTTTAATGGGAACTTTTACACAGTATAAGTGTACTACAGATTTAAAATACTGTATGTATTATCTCTTAAATTACATTGTACAGCTAAATGAGGAAAAAAGTTACATTGCTCTGCTTTTATATAAAAGCACACTATATACTACTTACCAAAGAGTTAATCAACATAACAAGACAGTTGTTCTGAAGTTCAGTAGGTAAACTGGCAAAGCTTCTCTCTGACAAACATTTTGCAAAATGTTTTCCTACCCATCTGTTGAAAAGAGAGCCTTTCTTAGGTAAGGAAGATGAAAAATGTTCTATCTTCACTTGTTAGCATAAGTGATACCTCTAAAGTATTGTGAAGAAAAAAAGAAATGTTTAAAATCTGAACATTTTATATGCCAAAATAAACCCAATCTTGCAAAATAATTTCAACAGAAAGCAGAGAAATGAAAAACAAACGATAATTTATTTTATTTTACTTACTTCATGCAAGCAGCATATAGGTTTTCCACTCCCAATGAATGAGCAATAGCCATGCATTCTAGCACAGGTTGCTGTTTTCCGGGAACAGGCTAGAGTTGTTAGCAAATTATCACAATTATTGTACATTATGACTTACAGAAACTGTACAGAAGTACAAAATCTTCAGTTCAAACAGAAGTACTGTTAGCTACCATGGTATTTAAGTTTGTTTGCCTTTATGGAGAATAGGGAAGTCATCTGCTTCCACACATGTCAATAAAGTAGTATTCAGCCTAATGAGCCTAATGCCTGAAAATGCTCAATTCTAAGCAGTTGTTTTTAAACTAATTTTAATTGAACAGAAATATTTTCTAAATATAAGCCCATGAAATCTGATATGCAAATATATAGTATTTCCATATTCCTATTATGAACAATTACATATACAATGGAATACACAGAGTGTAATTTAATACATTGAATTACCTGTGTGGAATACTGCTTTTCATCAGTTGTGGTTAGAAGTTTCTATAGGTGGATGATACCACAGGCCTTATTACCACCATCAATCCCAGTGAATTTAGCAGATTTACACATAGGAATACGGTCCATTGACTTAAGGTAACACCTTGACCACACAGTTGTTGGGTATCTCGTCAATATGATGTGTATGTAACAGAATGAAAACTCTTTTTAGGCTTTATGGCTCAAAGTAGCATGAGAGCTGACATACCTTTTGGAAAAAATTGCAGTAATCTCTTTTCAAAATGTAGATAGCTACTTCTTTCAGCCCATCTAGCCCATACATATCTGCAATGCTCAACATGCGACTAAAGAGAAAGCAATAGCAACAGGAATCAAAAATCATTTTGAAATATGTATTTTGCTTACAAGACAACTTGCTAATTTCATCTCTTTGTTCAGTCAGAATTTACTGCAGAAATAGATTGATAACCAAGTGTGAAACTTGCCAAAGAATAATCTTTGAACAGAAACACGTATTGATCTAATAATAATCTCCCAGCCACTGAGTTCAGTCTATATAAAAGTAAGCCTCAGCCGCTGGCTGAGAAGCTGTTTAGAAGACTCTCAGTTTCTCTATTTTAAGGGTAGCAAGTGAAAAAGATACTTGCGCCAGCAGAGTTTTGGCATTTTGTAGTTTTTTTCCAAGGATTACATAAAATTTTATTCATGACATTGTATCTGAGAATTATGTCCCTTCCAAATACTAAAAAGCACAGTGAGCAAACTATTAATTATTTTAGATAACAACCAATACCATAATTTTATTTTCTGTATCAGTTCATTACTTAAACACTGACATTGGGGCATATTATAAACAATTCCATATTTTTATTTTAGATTGATAAGCTTTGAACAACAATTTAACACTAAGAAATTGTAGCATTTTAATGTTTAGTGGCAGCATTCGACAGCTAATATATAAATGGTTTCAGGGAATAATTCACACATTTCAGAACTTACTTCACTAATACAGGATTATGTATAAAACTGTGATTAAAAACTATCCCAGAAGAAAATGCCAACATTTACATTTGTTGCTATATACCATCTTTTATGGATCTAAGACTAACTACTTAGCCTTTGCATCAACTCAAATGATTTTTAAAAAGATAGATTCCAAATATTAACTGTTATATATTATCACATATTGTATATATTATTCTGAAAACTAAAAGGAAGGTACAGGCAAATTGGGAATTATTTTGGTGTAAAACACCCTCTTGTTTCTCTCTCTTCTCATCTAATACTCAAAAAATGGCTGGCACACCTTTTCCAGTAGCTGTCAAATAAACAAGATTTCTTCAACTGCTTTATTTTTGGAATTTGTTCAAGTATGTTTAGGTGTAATCACCATTATATTTGACATCTGTGTCTTATTTATACTACATGAAGAATTTTCCTTTTAAATTTTAATGTGAAAATACAGAACAAGCACAAACTACAATTAAAAAAATAATAAAAGTTGACATATACCCAACATCAACTTTGTCTGGAAAGTCCAGAATACCTCCATATATAAAATGCAAGATGACACTCATTTCTACATGGCTTATGCTGCAAAAAAGAAAAAAATACAAATAAAGACATGTTCAGAATAAAGTGCACCATATTTCTTAGCCAAAGGAAGTTGATCAAAAGGCTGATACATCATTCAGCTGTTCTGTGAATGGAAGGTAAATAATCTGATGAAATTAAAGCTATTTTCAAGATTGCTGCAATGTAAAAATATCTAAATTTTGGGTGAATTTTGCTACTCAATAGTCTTGCTTAAACTTTGTAATACTTTAAATCTTTGAAAATAAATCATAAACAGACTAATACTAGTATCTAGATTATTTACACACTGCTAATATGCAAAATGGATTTTTTCATCATCTCCAAGCTCTCTACTAGTAATAAGTCAATTATTAAGCAACTATACATTTAAAAATTGTTCTATAATAATTCTTTCTAATTTTTGATTTTATGATATATTTAAGCTTTTCCCACAATAAAAATACATGTAATAGTTTTATTACAATGCTAAGTAGGAATGTTGCATCTCAAAATATTCAGAAAAAGTCTATTCCTAGATTCAGATTAAGAAATATGGAATTCCTACACAGAGTAGCGTTTGCATGTTTGCATTGTCCCACCACTGTAATGCAGAAAGGCACAGAACAACTATTTTAAATGGTGGACACGATCTCCTGAACAATATATTATTGTGTTTATGTACATACGTCTCAGCATGCAATCTTCAGAACCCACAAGTGCTGTGTACATTAGTATAAATGGAATATAGTCATGCAGATTGAGCTAAGACCCTTTAAAACATTAGACATGTTTAAGCAACAGACATTGATGACTAAAAACAAAATGAAAGAAAACAAACGTTGCAACATGCTAAGAAGCAAAATCAGCAGTTGTGTCTCTGTATATTAGTACACATGATAGCCATAAAATCTGCAAGAAGGAATTTCCCCAGAGTCTTGACAGCTGTTATCTTATGCAGAATTTTCATTATTTCAGAGTAAGCCATATGTACTTTACTTATAAGTGTTTAAAAAGACAGCATGGAAATCTGCACCAAGCAGAAAACTGAACTAGAAAAGATAATATTATGGGTATGATTCTTAAGAACAGAAATTATGAGACAATGGCATGAGACTATACTCATATAAAGATTAAGTACTTCTCAGGAGTACTGAAAAATAAGGATGCAAATTTCTTAACCATGTAGAAATCAATTACAGGGAGAGAAGTGTAAATACCAGAGTAATTGCTGACTATCAGCTTCTAAAACATACTATGTATAGCATAAAAGCTAAGGAATCAATTAAAAGTGTATTGTTTTATAAGGATTAGGAAGTTATAACCAAATCAATAGATAATCTTTCTGATTTTGCAGCAACATTACTACACTGACAGAAAACTAAAATTATGAAAATATGAGAAAGTATCACTTTGTCAAGCAATTTCATATCAACAAAAAGCAATTATATTTTTCAGCACTGTAAGGTACACAGTGCTTTCTGAAGAAAGCTGTCAGCCAACATCATGCCTGAACAAAAAAGCTAACATGTACAAGTATCAGTATTAGTTTGCTTTTAAAGAAAATTTAATATATTTCAATTAATTTTTCTGATACTGAAAAGAACTAACCTGGCAGTCCCCAGTTCATCTATGAAGTCTTAAGCATTCATTCTACAACAGCTCCATTATTTTCAGCTCTCACACAGAAAGCCATTGCGAACAAGCACGTTAGTCAAAATCGGTTTAGTGTATGACACTGAAATATCATTATTAAACACTATTTAAGAAATGTAATTGTTTATTTGTCTTTACATTGTAAATATACTCTTATTGTACAAATAGGTACAAAAATAAATTACACTGTTCAGACATTCACAATACTTTTCATGACATGTAGAACATGAAACGAAAGAAGAGAATTGGAAAATAGACTGCGAATACTAAAACATACTCTACAAAAAAGGATTAATACCCTTTTGCTGATGAAAGACTTCTTCCCTGAACCATCTGACAATATTAACAAATACACCACACAGGCTGTTTCATACTGAAGTCCAAACAGTAGTCAGGAAAGTATGAGGCTGAAGAAAAGTGTCAAGGCAGATCAATCTTCAGTGCTCTATACGCAGCACAGTTGTTACATATTTGCAGTGATTTTAAATTGCCTACCTTTGCTCCCACACAACTTGCAAAGAAAACACTTACCCTTGAAGAGTGATGTGCTCTTGGGAGCTTTCAGCCCAACTTCCACTCAGCATAGCAGCAAAGTAACTAGATCTGGCACATAAAATGGCCCTGAGAGAGAAAAAGTAAACATTATTCCACTAGATACAAATATTTATTATGAGACTGTCTCATGATTGACTTAAATCTTTGCCTTTATGCATTAAGGTGTCATCTGTATACTGCATACCTTTTCTTCCAGTATGTTTGGAATTTCAAAATATGCTAGAGAAAAAAAACCCAAACAGTACTTTAAATTTCTTAGTTAAAGCTTGTTTCTAGTATGACTGACATTCACACAGAAGAAATCTATTATGACAAGCATTTTCCTTTTATATAATATAAAATGGCAAATTTCTTTCTTATTTACCAAGTAACAGTAAATAACCTTGTTTATACAGCCCCATTTTAGCCAAGTAATTATATCCTGAATCTCTTAAACTATTTTTATATTACAAAATGTGTATTTATTAAAATTAAAAGAGAAGTATAAAACTTCTCTTATTCGAAACTGGCATTCCACCTACCAGCACATCCTAAAAGTCAAACAAACTCGATACTAACATGATACAACAATACAATGTGTGTTTCCAGCACTGCTTAAGAAGAGCTATCAATTACTTCTGTTTAGACTTACTACCCTTGTATATTTAAAAGGCATGCTTGGCCATGAAAGGGCTAATTAGATTTACTACTACTTCCACAAAAGACATTAAAGAAACTCCAGAACAGTAGTCTGTGTAGCTCAGTATCTCCACCAGTATTCTAGTCTTCAAAAAAACAGATGAAAAGAGCTTTGGAACAGGAGCTTCTTACAGTGGAAGTGGAAGGACAGAAAGGAAGAGAAGCTAGTGGACAGAGACTGCTTTATGATTTCAGCCTTCCAGATTAACACCAGTTACAGTGTTAGCCTTTATACATCTTATCTGGGTCACTGCAGCCATAGATAATATTCTCATATACACAGTTTTTTCCTGACACTTATTAAGCTTCCTATTATTTATAAAATTACTTTGTCATGTATTTCCTGTGGCAGAAAAAGCAAAAGTGTTATATTAGGCATGAGAATCCTTTCTTTTACATGTATTTGTTGGCTCTTAAAGTGTTTCAGAGCACTCTCATTTTGTGTAGGAAGAAGTAAGAAGAATACTATTTATCGTCTCTTTTCTAGTCATTATATATTCTGGAATCTCTGATCTCTCTCCCCGCTTCAGAAGTCTCAACACTTTAACTTAGGAACTTCTCCTGTGATTCAACCAGCAATAATAATGATGAATTTACAGAATTTTTCATCTCAGTGAAATATGTCCACACATAAACGGGTATCACATCACAACTTCAAGTATGTGAAATTCTGAATACACACACAATCTTGTTTTTATGATACAATAACACAATATCATGGACATATGAAATATGTTATCTTCAATTTTGTCATCCTCTTCCAAATAAATTTTAGTAATTAACAGGGCTAGATCAACTTCAAAGGGCATAGCTGAAGTGGATACTTCAAAGACTCATTTTAAATAAGACAGCTACTCAGTAGAATATGGACAAGTATGTATTACCTAAATATACAGTGATAAAACTTTAACTTATAAAATACATGGAGATACCAAAAGAATCTGAACTAGATTTATCTGTGCTTTCCTACTGCTATGGTTTGTGCCGCAAGTTTATTGCTGAACAAATCTGACTTGCTCCACTCAGAGCTAAGAATACAACACAGCACTAGGATGATGTAACTTGGCAACTCTCTCAGACCGCTGCTGCTCACACTGTAAAGTCTATTGGAAGTTTATAGGACTTCACGAGAAAGTAAGGAATACTGAAATAAGTGGGTGGGAGAAGGTGGGGGCTTAAACTGTCTCCTGTTTGAGAAATTAAAAAAAACCCTCTTAAAATAAGTAAATCATACTTGTGCTTTCACCGCAATTATACCCAAAGTTAAATTTCCCTTATTGACTCCTACTGTTCACATGATACAGTACTAAAACAAGCAAGCCTTGTGCCCATTTCAGAACATCCTTGTCTTCTCTATGATTTACTGCCATACTTTTTGATGCTGGTTAGACTAGATACATTGCTCCAGGCAGTAAGTGGCCTCAATTAAAGAAGATCTACTGATGAAATCTTTTTGTTGGCTTTCTTTTTGCATTAAAGTATTTGTTTCTCAAAGTTAGGGACCTGAGAACATGTCTTCTTATAGTGTAGACCAGAAGAAACAAACATACCCAACTACACTACATTCTGGAAATTCAGTATATATTCTAATTCTATTATTTAAAAAAATACACCCCCCCTTATATCTTCTGTAAAGATATTTGTAATGTCAGTAATATAAGCCCCCACACTGGTTTTGTGTTAAGTAATGGAGGTTTTTTTATAATCTCTCTCAGTTATTTATATACTGAGAGGGAACAAAATACAGGCTGTCTAGTTTGCTCTCTCAAATGCAGAGAGACTCATATCAAAGGTACAAGGAATAGTACTGATACTTTAATTTGCTTTCCCAGGCTACAGAACTCCAGTAGGCCAAAGTTCTTAAATGGTCTTGGACTTTAGATCTAATAAAGGCTGTTGACAATCTTTACATCTACAGGACTGAAGTAATGAAAGTAAACATCAGATTCTGTATGCACAGATTCTGAAGAGCAGGGGAAAAAATATACAATTACTACTCCAGAAATTTTCTACCTGTATGGTAATTTTATTCAGCATTAATAGCTGAATAGTTTATTAATAGATTTTTCATTTTCTTCAGAGAGCACAGATTACTTAAAAGAAAAGGTTAGCAAAGAAAACCTACACAGTATTTATACATGAGTATATACTCTTTATATGAGTTTACAATGGCAATCTTAGAAGTGCTAAAAATGTAATTGTTTTTACAACAGTTGCCGTTAATGAGAAATGATTTTCATTAGTATCAAAGTACAGCTGCTTCTCACATAACACCTAAAAACTGTAACAGTTCACAGCTAGATAACAGCAGCAGCAATAACTTACTATAGATATACAATACCAGCAGTGTTTTATACTAGAAGGATTTTGGTTGAAGAACTTCACAGTAAATACTTATGTACCTATGAGCTTGAAAATCTTTGCCTTCTATGCAAATATTAATATCTGGACAACAGCACTTCTTGTAGAGCATCATTAAGTCTTCTCCTAACACAGATGCAGTTTCTAGTTTGGAATTACCTGCAGATGGAAAGAAATAGCTATTTTCACTTTGTCCACTCTAGACTAGACTATTGACAGTACACAGACAACTGAAAATATTTGAAAAGAAGAATCTGACATAATGAAAGTTTTTAATATTGCATATTCAAGCTAGAATTTTCCTTGAAAAGTTTTCCAGACTTTGCATTTTACTTCTCGTTTTGACTTGAGATACCAGAAATTTGACCAACACTTCATATTTGCTACCTATAGAAGAAGTGCTACAGCTACTCTTTCCTAAGATTATAAAGCCAGTTCATTTTTTTTCTACAGAGATCTGGTACATCTGCATTAAAGAAGAGTAGACTCTGAAGAAGTTCAGGGTCATATAGTGCTACAAGCTTCTGCCTGAACAGATTTGTTGCTCGATCCTATCTTAATGACACAGCTGTAGCAGTCAACACCTCTGGTGTAGATGCAGTTACACATTTCCTCATGTTACGTATTTCATTCACAGCTGCAGTAGAGAAGATTCTGAAAGATTCCAAAATCTTCATAAACCAGCAGTGGAACTAATGTAATTTGCTAGAAAAGGAAAGGAATGCAGAGATTCTGCTCTGTGGAAGCCCCATGTGGTGAGGACTCAAGTTTGCTGTACTACAGAAAAAAAGACAGGACAAAATGGTGATAAACATGCCCACTGCCTGGCAATCCCTCTCAGCTTTCTTATGCTACACATTGGCTAGGAACCACTCCTGCCAAACTTCTGCAGCAATTTGTTTTTTCAAAGTGTGAGAGAATACGGCAGACCATAGCAAAGAATATCCCTGTAAGTTGTGTTATAACAATAGCCTTTAATCTTTGCCTGCATTTTCACATCTATGTAAGTCTTTGGATAATTATTTAAAAGAAAAAAAAAAAGAAAATTAAACAAACAAAAGTATAATTTCAAACCTACCTGCAGTGGCATTGTTGCTTTCTGCATCAACAACACCTGGAATTTCCTCTTCAATACCAGATGAAGAAGCAACTTCTTTCTGCACAGCTCCACTTGGGGTATTCTGATCAACAGGTGTTCTTTTGCCATCTCCAAGACAATTTACATTTGGTTGAGTGTTCTGAAGAGTAGCAATATTATTTTCTGGTATTAATTTGGGTTCCAATACTTTTTTCATCATAGCCAGCTCCTCAGCTTCTTTAAGATTTTTATCAGATGAATATACAAGCCTAGAAGATGACACTAAGTTTATTCCTGTAACTTTTTAATTGATCAAAACAAACAAAAAACGACATTTTTTCTGTAACAAAGTTCATGACGAGAAAACAAAAGCTGGACTCTACAGTGCTTAATAATTAAAAAAACCCTTTTTAAAATTGTATCTCTGGAAAACTTATTTTTGCAATGCTTGAAAAAGCAAAAACAAGCATTACAAATAAAATGTAACATCATGTTGAAAGGAACAAAGGTTTCTCTCCCTCACTTTCTTTCTTAAAGAAACTTTTGTCTGCTCTTTATAACTCATCTACTATAACAATCTACTGGCAAAAGCAGAAGCAAGCTGTATCAAGTAATGACAGATGACCGATTTATAAATCTTAGTATGATCAAGAAAAGGCATTTGATTGTCATTTAGTATAATCAAATTTACAAACCCAAAACTATAAAAACCTTCTAACATCAAGGTTACAAGTACAAAGCCGTAAGAATGGTATAGAGATAGAAATGAGTGGTATTGGAGATATAAATTTTAATTTCAAAGGAAGTGCTTGAAAGCATGAACATTTGCAGTTAAGATTACCCAAGAGCTTTCACTTTGCCCATACAGTAATTCCAGCTTCCCGCTTTCCCATCTGTTTCACCAGCTTATTTTTGACTCAAGATCTGGAAAGGCTAACAAAACCCGCAGTCTGTGACTGCAAAGATATCGTATTTATAGAAAGATACTGCACTCCAGCAACTTAGTGGAGCCTTAAAAAGTCAATATGAACACATAACGTGCTTCATCAGTGGCTTCATACCATATAGATGAAGTTAGCAAAGTTTAACAGAAGAGCTACAGTTACTTTGGATTTAACAGACACATACTTACAGATATGCATGTAGTCACTTATTCCATGGCAAAGAGGCTTTATTGTTAATATTGGGAACATAAGTAATTTGAGTATGCTATTTGAACACTGTCCTCTAAAGGGGCAGAGAAGACATACAAAGAAATCATCTTCCTTCTTAATTCCTGTATTTAAAGGACTCAGGTAGAATTTTTTTTCGTCTGTGTGATACAGGTTCTCACCAAGAGAGAATGACAAGAAACAAGAATGTAGTGAATGGGAATTTTAATATTTTATTAGACTTTGAAAGCCAGGGCCAGGAAAACATGTGATGGCAGTAATAAAATTTCACACTGAAAAAGATTAAGATTGGTAGACCCTCTTTACATGAGTTTAAGGTTGTTGTACCTGTATGTGCTTTCAGAACTCTTAACCTGTGAACTTGGCCTAACCATCTATTGCTTTTCATATTTACAGTGCTTTCCAACCCAGTGTAATAGCATGAGGGAAAAACAAGTAATAACATGCCATATTACCAAGAACAGGACCACAGGTTGCTTTGCAATTCTTTAGAAAATTCAAGACCATGACTTCCACACATTTTCCCCATTCACTATACTTCTCAGTACTTAACATCTGTGTTTTACAGCTCTCTGGCAGTAGGACTCAAGAACAGAAATTCAGAGTACAAACCCAATTAACCTAGAGATTTCAAAATGCCACAGAAGTATTCTGAAGTTTTGTTTTCAAGTTGTTTCTCCACATTAGATCTTCCAAGAAATGTCACTTAAAGTGACATAGACAATGTAACTACTAGACAAAATCCAATTATTCCCACTTTATGCCTGCATCTTCACCAGATACAAGCAAATACCACAATGACAGAAGTAAACTAGTAACACGTACTGAATGTGGAAAACTGCAGGAAGATCCCTGGTAAGGGTTTGTTGAAAGAAAATTGCCATTCATAACAAGTTAGGTTAAATTTGCACTGGAACTTTACTTACTGACCTTTCTGTTGCTGTGGAGCTATTGCATATTCAACATGTAAAGACAGTACAAATTAACTTTGAGGGAGAAAGAAAATTAGCGGCAATAGATACACTGCTTTGCCATAAATTCATTATTTCAATATTTTTGCTTACTTTCTGCCAGTCACTGAAAAAACATATCCATAGGGAATCGAAGGTAGGCAATGAGGCAACAATCTCATAGGAATCCCCAGGGTATTTTCAGATAATCTACATAAGAAACCTCAGGAAAGCAATTCTGTTATCACTAGGCTTCAGTCAATAAAAATGGCACGCTTACCACAACTAGGAGCTCCGTAAATAAAACAAGTAAAGTGGCATTTTGTTAAACTAGAACTAAGTAACCAGTTTCTAGATGTGAAAAAGTTACTCTATTTGAATTAAGTTTTTTTCCTGTAAAAGGTCAAGGAACCTGGATTATTTCAGTTAACGTTTAAAATACAGCCACAGTCCTGGATTTATTACTTCCAGAAACTCAGCAGAATGTCTGTATATTAGAGTCCTGCTTAATACAGACTGTAAATTTACTACTGTGAAGACTCACGGAGGCACCCATTATTCTGCTTCACAGACAGCAATAACGATTTTGGCACATCTTTTAAAATTTTTCCTTTATCTCAGTTAAATGCCATTAGGTGTTCTTTCCAGAGTGGAAGATTCTGCAGTTTTCTAAAACCTGTTATAGAAAACTTTGCTTGGCAACACCCTTTATTTTATAGACTCATTTCTAAAGGCAGAGTGTAGTTTTCTAGACTGTCTTCTACAGAGTTTCAAATGGTGCCTTCCTGCATAAATAAAAGCTAAGGAAATCTTTCATCCATAGCAAAATGCACAGCTTGGACCTTAGAGCTCATATGTGTTAGTGATAATGTAAACCCATCTCTTTAAAACACAGTTGCTATGAGAAACCAGGACCCTTACTGCAGAATTATGATACGAATACTTTTTACTGGTCCAAGCCTCTTGAGTAGGCATCATTTGATGTGACTAGTTTAGTAAGTTCAAGCACAGAAGACTACAGTTCTATGAAGTTACAAGTTTCTTCTTTAAGTCAGATACAAGTATCCTCAGGAGGTCTTAGAGCTTAAGTTTTGAACCGAGTTAAGTATTTACAAGAAAACAGTTTTTATCTAAGAAGGCATAAAAATGTTCCAGGTCTTCCAACATCCCTAATGAGGATCAGCAAAATACTAGATTATACTCACTGTGACCAAACAGCTTCCTACAACAGATAAGCACTATGGAGTTACTTTGTTTTCATAACAACATATAGCCTACACAGACATCTCAAAATGCACTTTGAAGAAAGTAGTTTGTAAAGTACTAAGAAAACACCAAGTAGCCCAACCAAACTTACTTTTGTGCATCTAAAGATTTAATTCAGTTTTCTTTTTAAAGGTGTCCTGAAGTTGTATTTCCTCTCATTCCAAATCACTTAGGCTAAATTCTTTGGGAAGTTTCTCAGCCTTAGAACTCTTTAAGGCTCATTTGTTTCTATCAATTGTAGATGCATAACTCCACACAGTCTTGAAAACCATAGTCTCATTACAAGAACAATCATTCAATTCTGTTCCTAGAACAGCCACAAAGCCAATACTGACTAGAATCAGTAATACATTTTTATGTTCACTAAAAATATAAAAAAAAATTATCACAAAAAATCCTGAATTAGTATTTGGGTTGAAAAATAATTTTATGATCCACTTCTTTGGTCCTTCGAGTCAAGAGGTACATTTCTTTACTGTGGGCCATACCTGCTGTCTGCAAGACAGACAAAATCCCAAACAGAAACATTTCAGAAATAGTGAGAAATTGCAGGTTTTCTTTTCATGAAATACCATATTTAAAAGCATGAGGAACCCATTTTTGTTGTTATTTCCAAGAACACTGGAAGTCACTGGAATTAACACTGTCATCACCAAACTTCACTGGAAGCTGTTAGGACAGCCTCTCCTACTGTCCCAAAGGAGTTGTTAGCCAAATAAATAAAGTTCTCAACTAACTAGGCATCCACCTTTCCAATGCTCCCTACAGCAGCTTCTGCTTGCTCTGAGTGAGAGTTCTTCACTGACAGCCCATCTGGAGAAGACAGTTACCTGCCATCTTCTCCTTACCCATGTTCTCCTCAGTTACACATACATGTCATTGATGTCACTAAAGAAGTGCTTTTGAGTTCTTAGACACTAGCTGTTTAATGACATGTACAAGATCCTGTCTGTTTATGTATATGTTGCATATATGCCCAGATTTGCAGAGCATTAGCAAAGAGATTACAACGCAGGCTTGAACGAAAGCCTAATAATGCCAGGGAAGAGCTGCTTTTTTTTTTATTTCTTGATTTTTTTTCTCTCTCAGCTAGCAATACAGACTGATTGTTAATGCTAAAGTCTATCAGAAAATCAGAAACTTCTCCATCATAAATACTATGTCAGCACAAAAGTCCAACACATATGAAAAGCGGAAATTCTGTTGTTTGACAGTGCATCAGTTTAATTGCCCTGAAAAAAAGATACTATGGTAACTTTAGAATAGAGGGACAAGTACAGATGCCCAAAACAAGATACTTATTTGGTAGCGTAGGGGATAATACAATTAATGAAAACAGACAAAACAAATTATGTTTTTCTTTTATTTACAAATTGTACAGATGCTGTGTGTTGTTTTCAATAGGAACTTGGTATAGCACATACCAGAACTTTAGAGTAACTAGATTAGCACTGAAATATCTTCTGTACACATGTAAAATACCATATTATACAGTTTCACTTAAACAAAGGTATGTGTTATCGCAATTAGATGCCAAAATAAAACCAAGATCTATTAACTTTTGTTAATAAAAATAACACTGAGAACATAGGAAGTCTCTGAACTACTCCCTGCCCACGGTTTTAATGCATTGTTGTCTTTAGCAAACGCAACTGCAGCAAATACTCTCATGCACTGCATTTAATCTTGGTGGACTTGCCAAAATATTTCACCAATACACCTATAGCACCTTTGTTAGTGCAAGTTAGGCATGTCGTATGTGCAACTTCAACCTACCTTAATCCCTTAAGATTCTTCCATCTCCCTTTAAATTTCCTAAAAGAACAGTCTGCATGATTTTTGCAGCTAAGATGGTTATTTTAGCTTAATTAATCAATTAAGTTAAATACTTATCTTGAGACAAGCATTTCAGCAAATTTCTTCTCATGAGATGCAACATCAACTGCTTCGCTGCCTCACACAGATGCCAATTAAATTTTCCAATTTCTTGTGAAAACTAAGCATTTCAGAAGAAGAATCTGGCCCTTAAGGAGTGATGATTACAGTGAAAGGTTTCTACCTATTTACCACAAATTGATTTTTTTCTTCCTTGGGGCATAAATCCATGGCATTAAGATACTATGTTTTCCAAAGAAAGTTGTTAATATCACACACATACCAAATATACTGCAACTTGACAGTTTAGCTTCTCAACTTCCTCTGAGAAATTGAGATTAGAAATAAACATGGATAAAAAAATCCAATAAGAAAAAAGACAAACTTATTGTTTCTATGTATGCGGAAAGGAGATAAGGTGACTGTTGTTTGGCATGTGTTTAAAGCCTGTTTTCATCAAAAGAAACAAGTCATCATGGTAAAGGCTTTCTTCCCCCAACAGGATATAGCATAAAATCTAAACTACAAGCTTCATGCAGTATCTTACTTATTTCCCTCCTTCCTTGCTTAGCAAAGTCTAATTATTCTCAATGACTAGCTTAGCTTATATTTATAACCACAACAAACTTGGTGCTGTAATAACAAACTCAGTCCAGAGAACATGGTTGTATGAACAAAAGCCATTAAGTTAGAACAGCTTAGCTATTCGGAAGATATATTCCTTAATCCCTTAATTTAGGAAATAAACACTTTAGTTCACAATAATTTGTTCTCAACTTTCTCCGTTTTCACTGTTCACTGGCGATAAGCCTTTACAGAGCATTTTAACTTCCACAATTCACGATTTATCATTTCACAAAGTTTAAGACAGTCACATCAAATTTCCCACGTTGGCCATATTTGTAGGGCAGGGTTTGTTAACTTCGTTTGTTTTGGGAGGAATGATTGTTTTCAGCTGTATTGCTCATTCCCTTATGTCTTAATGCAAAGAAAAGAATAGTTGTTGAGCCAAAAAAGGCACCTGTGAGTGTCACAGAAAGCCCTTTTTGCAGTTAGCTTGTTTACAAGTTACATGAATCAGTGACTCAGAGACGATATTCCTTGCGTGGTAGGGTACACCACATCAACAGGCACAAGTGATAAGAGGATAAAAGGGAAGGACCATATCCAAATAAACTGTATAACCCACAAAATTTCCAAGAACATGGGAGCCATGCTATTCTTCTGAAATAGAGTGGTCTGCAATCATAACCCACTAGAAAGGAATGCACAAGCCTAGATATTAAGGGTAAGATTGCTGAGGCGTAAGTGTAAAGGAATTCAGTGTACATGAGCAGAAGTCACCTTTGTTTCCTCCAAAATAGCCGGTATCCAACGGGGACTATGACAATCCAGCAATCAGTAAGAATAATCTCATGCATGAGTTATTTAAAGAAATATTTCCCTTTTTCACTACTTCATAATCCAATGTTATGGAACCGTAACTGGGAGTTGTATTTAAAGAACAAATATTAACAAACAAGTTGTGCTGTATTTGGTGCAACTGCTTTATGAAAAGCTCATGTGCAAGAGAAGGTCAAGCTCAAAATAGAGCTAAGCCATCATCTCCTGTAGTATCAGTCTGATGTCATGTAATTTTAACAGGCACCCCACCTTCTGGCTTGTTTTTTTTCCCCCTGCACACAGAAAAGATTCTGACAGACGTGAGCAACAACAAGATTGCAAGACATGTGACTATGAGACAGATGAAACTGGAACAATGCTATAGGGTATCTGTTGTATTAATAGCAGTTCCTGCAGCTGAAGTTGTTTTTTTTTTTTCTACAAAGGAAAGGTGTGCATAGAGTCTACAGAAAGAAGTAATTGTCATGCTGTCTAGGAGTTTACCTTAAAGAATGTTTTGCCTGCACTCAAGCTAGATGTGGCATCCTTCTACTGCCCGATACAGAACTATACAAACATAACACAGTCGAAGGCTTGCCTGGTCTACTTTGAATCAACTGCTGGTACTGCAAATTAACCCCTGTAGCAGTAAACGTCACAATGACAATCGTATTCCTTTGTATTTGATCCATATTTATTGTTTTTTAATTGAATCTGACTGTCATTAGGTCCTTTTCTGTCTCTCCTTAAATCAGATCCCGTTAATACAAATATTAGGATACAATAAGAATAATAACTAGGTTTTTATTTCTAAAGCTGTATTTTTTCCAACTGAAAGGGTAACAAGCAGTTTCCCTCTCAGCAGCCAAGATATTAATGATCTAATGATCTGTGACAGACTATTGTCCTTCAGGGATGCTAAGTTCCTCTCTTCTTGAGGCAGAGTGCAGAACCTGCTCAAGCAGTCATCTCCTGCCATACATTCAGGTACTTGCAATTGTTGACCCTTTTCTAGTTGTGTTATGAAGAGTGATGGAAGGCTGTTGGAGGGCAGAGTCAATATTACATTAGTTTCATCGGGCAAAAACATAGGGTGAATGGTGTCTACAATATGAATGCTGCACTTCCTGGTGACCAGCAGTTTCTTGCTGGTGTCCTCAGAAAGTGCAAGTAAAGCAGCACTCAGTTGCTCATCTATTTCATGCCGAGGGTATGCAGAAACATCAGCATGAAGTTCACCACGTCCTCCATCCTGCTCAAAAACGCTCAGAAGTTTGGCAAGAGGAGCTGCACAGCCTTCAGCACACAAGTGACATAGCCCAGATTCCTCCTGATTAAGAGAGACAGAGACCCAAAGGAAGTACGTCTCGCTGAGACGCATGACAGATGTAGCTTGTGAGAAAAAAAAATTCCAAAAATCCCCAAGGAAAGATCATTTTTACTTGGGAAGATAAAAGAAAAGCTGAATACAAACAGGAAAAGGAATGAGATTTTTTTATAGCTTTGATGAGCTCTTCAATACTATACTAGTATTCCACTTCTATTCTATTTTTTTATTACCAAAGAACCTAGAACTTTTGTAGAAGACTGCAACTTTCTCTCAGGAGCTCAACTGCAGCTATGGGTCTTTGTTACAACGCATCATGGCAACTCACCTGCTTTAAGAACTAGGCTAGCTGCCAGTAAACCTTAAGTTGTAATTTAAGGCACTGTTTTCGATTTGTGAAGATCTAATTAATTTGCATCTTAAACAAGAAGAAACCACTGAGATTCAACAGGCACTGACTAGCAGAAGTCATGATCTGAACAATGAAGTTAGGCTCTTTTCAACCAGAGCTGCTTCCTTTCCTTGGTCCAAAGCCGTTCACTGTGGTCAAACTCCAGTGCATTCTGTGACACGAATTTTCAGAGAATGCGCTAGGTTAGAAGATTCAAAATCTGAACTATCAAACAGCACCGAAGACTAATTTAAGAAAAACCAACCATCTTGCACAATGCACTTCATATGTAGCTTAGAATATATGGGGAGGTTCGTTTGAAGAATCTAAACTCACAGTGAAAAGAGAAAAGGTTTATAATTAGATGAGCTGGTTTGAGTTTAAAGGTGTTTTTCAATACCATGCTTTTGGGAGAACATGCAGGACTCTGGAGATCATTACTTGCCTTCCAGCAAACACAGACAAAATTGAAAGCAAGTATCAGTGAACTGTAGACATACTAAGTGCTTACCATTAGGAAAATAAAGGAATGATGTAACAGTATATAAATAATCAAAATAATTATTCCAAATAATTATTTCCCAAATTAAAACAGTTTGCATTTTTAAAAATTTGCATTATGATGCTTCTGCATTAAAGTCTTCCATACCACCACTTACATGAAGGTGAAACAATTAATGAAATCAAAGTAATAATGGAGTTCAGAAAAATCCGAGACAAAAAACCCCATGCTGTTTGGTTTCTTACCACGTGTTTTGCTAATGCTCCTGCCAGACTTTGACAGTAACCTAACAAATGCCAGTTTATCAGTCTGTTTCACTACAATGATTCTGGTTTAGATAGTACTCTCTGTTCAAAAAGTTTTCTTTCATACTTACTATGACTTTAGTACCCTGAATACATGTTTGTAGCCCTCTGCCGTCTTATTTACAAATTTAAGGAGAGAATGAGTGAAACCAATAGGGAGAGGTCTAGGCACTAAATTTTAAAACTGCAACACCTTCCCCTTCTTCTTGCCAACAATCTCAAGAGCCTGCAAGTGCATACATTTTCTAGGCACATCCTGAATTCATCTGAAATCCAAGTGCCCACTGCTTTGCTCCTGTGCATGCCCCAAAGTGCCCATTGGCTCCAACATCAACATTGTTTTATAGAAGGTAGGCAGCACCACCACAGCTTTGTTAGAGAAAAGCAACGCTGCTCAGTTCTTTGAAAGAGGGATTAGAGGCACTTCAAGGCAAGGAGGATTGCAAGGTCTGGTGGCGGCACCAGCCAACACCCCTCACGTACTCACAGAAGGTTTGGAGCAAGACAAGTGAGATGTCAGATATGTGCCAACAGCTGGCAATGGGAAAACACGCTGGCCCTTGTGCCAGTCCCTGGGGAGCAGCCAGCCCACACGCTGCACTGATGGAGCGGCACACCTCGCTCTGGGATCCCAATTTAGTGGGAAAGCCGTGCTGTGTTTCGCCTAGCCCATGGATCACTAGGACTTAATGATGACCACTGAGTATCTAACTTGATGAAGTCCTTCTATGTTTCCAAATTCATAACTTTTTTTTTAACATGACACTAGTGTGCTTTCTCTTTGTTGTTTTCATTAGGTAATCTTGCTAACAAGGGTATTAGTGGGCACAGACAGTTGTAAAGGATACATTCAGGATTTGTGCTGTTTCTTACTCTTGTTCTATTACAAAGCCTTTACATATCATAAAAAACACGCTACGGTGGAAAGTACACCCACGCGCTGTCAGCAGAGGGACGAAGGCAGAGGAAAATAAGTAAGTTACAGGAAAGTCCTCTGCAAACGCTGCAGGAAGGCTGCGGAGATACTGCTTTGAATGGGAAAGCTTTCAAACAGGTGTTAGTACTGGAGAAAGAGAAGAGGAAGGACACGGGAGAGGCAGCGCTGAGGCCCGC